AGACCTGGACGCTGCAGCAAACACCTGACCCGACGCAGCTACCTGACCAGACGCAGGGACCGGAGGAGACGCAGTGGTCAGTGTGTACAGGCTCGACCCCGGCCGACGTGTAAACGTGGCCAGGTGTCGGCCTGTCCGAGCGTCCGTGCAGTGGGTCACCCGCTGACTCGCAGGAGTGAACTGGTGAACCCCCGCATCCTGTAGGTCAGCACCACTCACCAAGTTCGTAGAGAACGAGGGGAGGTAAAGACCAGACAGGGTGCCAGAGGGGGCCGCCGGACACGGGAGGACAGTGGAGAAGTGAGCAAGGACAGGACCCCCAGAGGGGTCTGCCAGAGAGACCGCAACTGGCCGGCCAAGCGGCGTGAGTGTGGTGCGGTCTCGAAAGAAGGAGCGAGAAGCCCCCGAGTCAAGGGTAAAGGTGTGGGAGGCCGAAGCCGACGCAGAACCTGAGAGAGCAGACTCACCAGTACCTGAGGGAGCAGACGCACCTAGAGCAGCAGCCTCGCTAGCACCTAGAGCAGCAGCCTCACCAGGACCTAGAGCAGCAGTCTCAATGCCCGGGTCGGGCGGAAAACACCGGTAACAGTCACCCTCATCACTAATAGTCACAGTATACATGGCAGCAAGAATAGCATCAAAGTCAAGGTCAAAGACAGCTACACCCGCCCTAGACAGCTCACCCCAGCGGGGGATCTCAGTGGCCTCAGGGAACTGGTGACGCCAAGCGTCCGTCAGGCGGCCAAAGCAGCGCTGGGTGGAGTGCGCACCCCCGCACTGCTCACCCGCGCGGTCGCCGGTGCGCAGGACGTAGGTGCACGGACCAGTACCCCCACCCCTCTGGCGTGCAGTGTACCACTCACGGAGCTGCTGAGGGGAGGGGACGTCACGAGTGCGCTGCTGCTGCTGCTGCTGCTGCTGCTGGCGCTGACCACCACCGGAGCTGACCCTCTGCGCAACGCCACCCCGACCAGCTCCACCTCCTCCGCCGCCTCCTCCTCCACCGCCGCCACCTCCGCTCCCTCCGCCACCGCCGCTGCCGCCTGCGCCTCCACTGCCGCCACCTACACCTCCACCCCCGCCACCACCCCCACCGCCACCCCCACCTCCTCCACCGCCTCCACCGTCGCCTCCACCGCCCCCGCTAGCTCCTCCAGCGCCCCTGCCCCCCTTGCCCCTGCCAGGGCGGCGTCTCCCGCTAGGGGTAGACGCTGCCCCAACCGACTCCAAACCAGCGAGGTCGGCCGCAGCAGCAGAGGCAACAGAGGGCAAAAGAGGGGAGGGGGAACACCCCTCAAAGATGGGGGTGCGAGGGTCACCACGAGAGGCTCCTACAGCGACTATGCTCTTTTCTGCTGCTAGGAGGGCCTTCTCGAGGAGGTCAACGGTGAGAGTGGTGGGACAAACCGAGAGGAAGTGGTCCCTGACTACGCGAAGGGAGTCAGGGAGACGGGTGACTATGTAGTAGAGGGTGATGTACATGGGGGGGGGGTTCTTGGCGCAGAACTCAGCAGGAAGCGCAGCGCGGTAGCGAGTGTCACTAGTGCGGAGGTGCGTAATGAGGTCAGCGACTGTGGGAAAGGCAGCAAGGTCAGGGAAGAGGTACGGTAGCATGAGGCGGCTCAGTGCAGCAGTGGCAGGGGAGGAGTAGCGTGCAACTACAGCGTCGTACAAGGTCTGAGCACTCTTGTACTGGCTAAAGTGCGCACGCTCAGAGGTAGGTAGGTGGCGACGCACAGCAAGACGTGCAGCAGCATCGCGCGTGGCCCACTGTGAGCGAACAGTGGCGTCAGCATCAGCAGCGGGGGCAGGAGAGGCACCAGAAGTGAGGTCAAAGAGGGAGAGGCCGTCTGCCCTATCGCACTGTAAGAAAAGCTGCAGGTCATCTATCCAGACTTCAAAGTCAATGGCCCGACCCTCAGCGTCAAAAGCGAGGACACTAGGGGTAGCCATGACAGCAGTAGACTAGCAGTGCAAACAGTAGGGTGAGGGCAGTGCTGTGAGAGAGGCGCTGCTCTTACCGGACAGGGCGGCTCGGGCGGCTCGGCTGCAGGGCGGCTCGGCGACTCGACGGCTGGGCGGCTCGGCTGCTGGGCGGCTCGGCTGCTCGGCTGCTGGGCGGCTCGGCTGCTGGGCGGCTCGGCGGCTGGGCGGCTCGGCTGCTGGGCGGCTCGGCTGCTGGGCGTATCGGCGGCTGGGCGGCTCGGCTGCTGGGCGGCTCGGCTGCTGGGCGGCTCGGCGGCTGGGCGACTCGGTTGCTGGGCGGCTCGGCGGCTCAGCGGCTGGGCTGCTAGGTTGCTGGGCGGCTCGGCGGCTGGGCTGCTCGTAGGAGTAGGCGTGGGGGCCGTAGGAGCAGGCGCCGGGGCCGCTAGGGCGGCGGATCGGGGCCGCGAGGGCGGCGGATCGGGGCCGCGAGGGCGGCGGAGTAGGGGCCGCGAGGGCGGCGGAGTAGGGGCCGCGAGGGCGGCGGATCGGGGCCGCAAGGGCGGCGGATCGGGGCCGCGAGGGCGGCGGAGCGGGGCCGCGAGGGCGGCGGATCGGGGCCGCGAGGGCGGCGGATCGGGGGCCGCGAAGGGCGGCGGAGTAGGGGCCGCGAGGGCGGCGGATCGGGGCCGCGAAGGGAGGCGGCCGGCGCCGCGAGGGTGGGGCCGCGGGGTCGCTAGGGTGGGGCGACAGAGCCGCGAGGGCGGCTCGAAGGGGGCCGCGAGGGCGGCGCGAAGGGGCCGCTAGGGCGGCGCGAGAGAGGGGAGCGCGACTCGGGCAGGGGCTGAGTGCGCTCCGGGCAGGAAAAAAAAACGGTGGGCCCTAGGAACAGTTCCCACGAGGGAACCTGCTCGATACCATGAGAAGAAACAAGGAATGGAATGACTAAGGGAAAGTTGGGTACAAAATGCAAACCCCAGAAAACTGTACCCCATATGTGCTACCCCACTATAGCCTACAGTAGCTCTGTCATATAAATCTGACATATGTAAGCGCCGGCGGTTATGGCCGATATTCAATTACAAGCGCCCCCCTTAAAAAAACTGATTTTATTATAAGCGCATATGCACCACTATCCGGGGTATTACGGTAGCGAACTAGAGTGGTAACGGTAACGCGAGAAAATGGGGTGCGCTATGGGCGTAGCGCCGAGGTTGGGATATGTCGAGGCGGAGGTCCGGAGCGCGGGTTACCAACTGAGCCGTGAGGTTGGGTCGCATCGTGAACAGTGGCGGGAATCGTAGTCGAGGCGAATGTCGCGAGCAGGTAACGTTTCACTGTTTGGGTGCCGATGGCGGGAATGGTCTTGTACGCGGTAAGCAGGGGCGCGAAGTAAGGGAAAGGAATTTTCCTTACACGTATACAAAGATAAGGGCGTGTTCCTACGGCCTCGTATCAGGAAACCTCGTATCAAGAATGTACTTTTTGCCTGGTAAAACTAGCGAGAGATTTTGGGTTTAGGGGAAATTTCAGTGTGAGCCTGATACGAGGTTCTCTTGATACGAGGTGTAGGAACACGCTCTAAGATGGTGGAGAAGGGCGAATTTTCTTGTGGAATATTATTAATGTCTAGATATTGAACACCTCATACTTTTCATAACTCACCTTCTATGTACTTCTGGATTGCATGAATGCTGCATCTTCGAATGGTGCAACTGACCTGTCACTAAAGCTGGTAGACGTGGTTTCAGTGCCACCTGGCAGCGTGCGAGTGGCGGTTTTCGTCGACCCAGCCAAATAGTGGACCTACCAGAATTCTTCCCACTGCCCAACTGTATCGGGACAGCAGTGTGGGGAATCCGCGCTTCCACCGATGCCTGTCTGGCTTTTTTGTTTTCTCATATCCCCAAAAGGAGCAGTGGCGCTGCCTCGATTCTATCATCCAGCCTTTCTGCACATCCTCCTTCTGAAGTCCGGAAAGGATGGTTTGGAAATTGAGCGGTCGTGGTGCCGCTTGCACATCCGTCACGGGGCTCGTGTCAGACTTCGTGTCAGAGCTGAAGCGGACAATTCGGGTTTTCCGAGCTCCACCTCAAGATTCCCAGCGTCCAACCTCGCGGTTGACCTGAGGTCAGGTCTATCATGACCCTGGAATCAACCTAACAGTCAATATCCCAATTTGACCTGCCCTCTCTGGTAACACGATCGAGAGTCAAGACTCTTGGGAATGCGGGGAAACCGATTGCCGAAACCCAAGGTAAAACATCCCAGGTATTCCCAGTTCCCCTTCCTCCCGCCCTTTCCAATTCCCAAGAAACCCTTTTCTCATCCCCCGTGGAGACTGGTCTGACGGCGAGAAAGAAACTTGGCTGACGCATGCTCCACCGTTCCGCCACACAGTAAGGGTGCATTCGTATCCCGTGTCAGACACGAAGTTGGAGGTTCGGAAGACACGAAGTGACTTAGCTTGTGTCTTCCGAACCTAATTGCCTGAATTTTGTGCCACTTCGTGTCTTCCGAGCACACTTCGTGTCAGACCTCAGGTCTGACACGGTATACGAATCCTCCCTCAAACTTGATGCATCTATTGCTGAATTTCGCTCTCCTGTAGTCAGCAGTAGCACAGCAGCACCCTCAACAAAAATCCCTAGGTTCTAAGAGACCACATCCCACTCCTCTTCCCTATCGGATAATTACCCTTTTCCCCTTTCCTCGTATACAGGTTTGGACTCTCCGTCTCTCCTTCCTCGCCTGGTAACCATCTTCTAGCGATGTCGTCGAGCACAGAGCCTCCGAACGTTGGCGACGCGCTTGCGACGACTACCATCGCCACCGCCGTCGCAGGACTCGCTATCGCCTCACAAGACAGCACCTTGCCGTCACCCAATGGTCTCTCGGAGTCCACGATGGTCAACGGAGTCAACGACAAGCAGAAAGCGACAAACGGGACAAGCGGGGCAAGCGGAGATGGTAATCATGCGCGAGAGATAACTGGCGACGTCGCACAGCACGGCGGCGACGACGACGACGACGATGGTGACTCAGAACCCGCCTCTCCCTGTTCGTCCTCTGCCCGTATGGGCCACTCCCATTCATATTCCTACTCCGACGGGTTTGCATCCGACGAGGCGGATGTTAAGGCGGGCGCGGGGCCCTGCGGGAAGCGCGGGGGGCACTACGCATCCGCGCACTACAAGCGCGGCGCAGGCGGCGCCAGCTTCCCCGCCGCCGGGGGGTCCAGCGGGCGCAGCGGACGCCTGGACGTGGAGTCGGCGGCGGCAGCGGCTGTGGCGGCCATAGCGGGAACCGGCGCAGCGGCTTCCGCGGGTTCCGCGCAATCGTCTCAGCCGTCGCAGGCGTCGTCCGCGCGGCACGGCGGGTCCGCACGGCGCTCGATGCGCATGGCGGCGCGCCGAGAGCAGGGGAACGCGGGGGCAGGCGGAGTAGGAATGCGGCGGATTGCGGAGGAGGAGCGGGAGGATGGCGGAGCGGGTGTCGGGGCGAGTGCGGGCGGGGGGGCGGAAATCGTGGGGAATGGGGGAGGGGTCGAGGCAGAGGCTGGCGCAGCATCGGCGGGCATTGCGGGAGGATCCGCAGGCCAGATGCAAGTTCCGCTTTCCGCCAACGCGCAGGGTCACGCGCATGCGCACGGGCACGGGTACGGGCATTCGCACCCGCAATCCCGCGCGTCTGTGCAGCCATTGGCGCAAGTCCACACGCGCGCAATGGCACATGCGAACGGGGGGTTCCGTGTGCCTGCTACGCGCAGCCCGCGCTGGCGCCACGCGGGCACGGGGGAGGGGGGCGCGCACGCGGCGCAGGCGGGCGGAGAAGCCGGCGGAAGGGGAGGAGGCGGTGGTGGTGGTGGGGACGAGAGATCTGCGGCCGCCGCCGCTGCTGCTTCTGTTAGCGCTGCCGCCCCCGCCGTGGGGGCTCCTGGTGCTGGCACCAGCAGCAGCAGCGGTGCTTCCCCTTCCGCCGGTGTTGCAAGTAATGGGCTGACTGCTTCCTCTCTCCTGCTTCACAACGCATCGCACGGCAGCAGAACACAGCCGACCGCACACAGGGAAGGGCTGACCGCGACTCACGACGACCCCACCACGGCCCTGAATCCAGCGGGAATGGCGGCGGGAAGGGCGGATAAGAATGAAGATGGGGATGGGGATGGGGATGGGGATGGGGATAGCTCGTCAGCAGCCGCTGAAGATGGTACAACGTCGGTAGGGAGCAGGGACGTGGGTCCTGGGGGAGGGCTTTCCGCCGCTGCGTGGAGAGATGCCGCGTTTGCAGCGGACGACCGAACCTACACCTCAGGCTCGGACAGCGACTATCCCGGAGCTCCGAGCTCGCGCCGGGAGCTCTGGATGGCCCCGGACTGGCAGACGAGGTCTGGGGAAGCTGCTGCAGCTGCTGCTGCTGCCGGTTCTGCTGGTGCGTCTGCTGGTGTGGGGACCGGTGGTGCTGGTGCTGGGGGGGGTGTGACTGTAACGGGAAGGGCTGTAGGGGGTACTGCTGCCAGGCCGGGAAGGCAGGAAGGGGGAGGGATGGGCGGAACGGGGGGAAGGGTTGGGGGAGCAGCAGGGGGAGCAGGGGCAGGCGCAGGCGCGGGGGGGAGGGGGACTGGGGGAGCAGGAGCTGGGGGAAGAGGAGGGGCGGAGAGGGGGAGAGGCGGAGGCGGAGGAGAAAGCGGGGAAGGATCATCAGGGGGAGGCGAAGGGGGAGGGGGAAGAGGCGGAGGCGGAGGCGGAGGAGTAGTGGGAGGAGGAGGGGGAGGAGGAGGAGACGGAGGAGGAGGAGGTGGATTAGTGGTGGGGGGTAGAGCACAGGGCATGGGTGCTAAGGCGGCTGCTCTGGCAGGTGGGGGGAGGGCGAGTGTGGGGGAGGAAGGGTCGGAGAGGGAGGGGGGGGCGAGCGCAGCAGGGGAGGAGGTGGGGGGGTATTCCCCTGACGAGGAGGATAGTGTGGAGGGGCAGAGGCGGAAGGTGAAGGGTCGCGTGAGGAGGAAGGCGGGAGATGCGCGGCGAGCAGAGGACATGGCTGCACGGCAGTCTGATGATGACTCGGGGATTGACTGATATGTTGCCTGGCTGGCTGGCTGGCTGGCTGGCTGGCTGGCTGGCTGACGGAATGAGAGAGAAAGGAGAGAGGTGTTCGGAGGGAAGGGTGGATGGAGAGGAGGGGAGGCGGTGGAAGGGAAAGTGGTGGATGGAGGGGAAGCTGTCTGTTATTCTGCTTCTGCTTCTGCTTCTGCTTCTGCTGCCGCTGGTGATGCTGGTGATGCTGGGGGTGGTGGCACGGTTTTTTGAGTTTTGCTGCTGATACTCTGGTATGCGGTGCAGTGCAGCGTGTGCTGCTGTGCTGCTTAATGTGCTGTTTCAACGGGCTGTTAGACAAGCTGGTTCATTATGCTCTTCTCACGAGCTGCCCATTATGCTGGTGCTTCACCCATCTGGTCGATTCCCTCCTTCCGAATGGTTAATCGCCAACCGATCTCTTGACGCCCCTCACTTGCACGTTCCAATTGGGTAATCGCCACCCACCCACCCATCTCCCTCCTTATCCATCAGTTTCGAGAATCCTCAAAAGTAGTAGCACACTCATTTGCCCTCGCCTCTTACCCCATCTTCCCTCTTCTCCCCCCACCTCTCCCCATCTCCATTCATCTCTCCTCATCCTCTTTTGGGGTCAGTCAGTCAGTCAGTCATCTTTGCACATAGTCTTTCTCAATCCACAAGACATGCAGGAGCACGCGCTCCCTGCAGCCTCTGCACCTGGGTTGCTGCTACATACAGTACAGAGCTCTCTTGCAAACAGGGTATACTACATGGTACCTAAATGTCTCGTTCAGTTCACGAGTTCAAATGCATGTAGTGTAGGTGTAGCCTGCTTATAGCTCCGTTTACTTACCATGGTAGCTCATGTATTCTCCCTGCTGATGAATCGCTAAACATGACGAGTTGCCTGTCCATCCTCAGCCCACTTCCACCGCCGCCCCATATTTTCTCTGCTTTACCTCACTTCCCCCCCATTCCTTTTGAAATCTGCATGACTGAATGTGATCAAATCACATGGATACATGTATGGTATGCATGAATACTCTTTTGGAAACATTTAGTTTACGCTTCTGAAGTATCAAGCACTAAAACAAAAAAAAAGTGTCAGAATCACTCTGCAAGAATGATTGGATTAGCAAGATTTGGGATACAAGTACTAAGTGCTGTATAAGTGCTGTACCCCATAAGGAGTGCCCCACTAGAGCCTACAAGTAAGATTGTACTTTGACACACCCCCATAGGCTAACTGGGGGACAACAAGACGGTCACAAGACCAGTCAAGCAAGACAACAGAGCAAAGCAAAACAAAGCTGAGGGTGGATCTCAAGGACACCACACAATCCGAGCACAAGCAAGCGGCCACAAGGATGTTGGGCTGAGAAAAACCCTTAGGATCTTTCAGGACTAAGATCGGGTGTTGACGTAGGGATGTACCGTATTCTCCCGGACAAAACACCCCCCCATATTTGTACACCCCCGGGTAGCTTGTGCGGGGTGGGTGTTATGGGGAGCCTCGTTTCTACTATACCCCCCTTTTTGCCTGATTCTCTATAAGACCCGGGGGGGGGGTGTTATGGGCGGCAAAAATACTGAATTTGCTTACTGTACATTGCATACAGGGTACTTTACAGGTACCGGTACTACAGAAGTAATGTGCCAGCACATAGGCATCGACAATGTCACCTAGACTGCAGAAACATCACCACAAGAGCACCTCACATCCACAATTTCACCTAAAAAAACTCTATACAAAGTGCCTTCTACTCAGAATCGTCTCCTGCATGCCATTCTTCACAGTCTTCCCCGTCAAAGCGGCCAGGGCGCCACCATTCGTCATCGCTGGGCTCTTCTGCCTCCCCGCCTTCCTCAAGCACGCCCCCCTCCTCCTCTGCCGCCGCCGCTTCCGCGTCCTCCTCAGCGGCGTCAGCCTCCTCTGCCGCCGCCTGCAGCACCTCGGCCGGCATGGGGACTTCGGCGTAGAAGGGGTTGACGACGAGCTCGTCGTCAACCAGGTCGTTGACGTCGTCAAGGACTTCCACCTCACCCTTGTCTCGCATGTGGGCAAGGATGAGGTGGTCCTCGCTGCCATCGATGGGGGTGGAGATCCCACACGTGACGAACGCCTTCTTCACGAGCTCCTCTGGGATTGCTTCCCAGGACTCATCGATCCAGCGGAGCACCAACTCCGCTGGCGGCTTCTTGAGATTGCCTGAGGGACGGGGAAGGGTAGACAAGGACGAATGTGAATTTCCAGAGCGTAAGCTGACATTGATTAAAAGTCACGCATGCGAATGTCATGGTTCAACTCACCGCCCTTGGTGGTGGTGTTGATTCCTTCTTCTTCGAACCAGCTGCTGTAGCGATGACGCACACCGCACTTGAACGCGCGGTTTATCGACACATCCAGAGGCTGCACTAGCGGGGTGCAGCCCCCTGGGATGACAGCCCGTGACAGCCGAAACATCCGCATGGTCTGCCCGACCGCCTCAGTCAAGTGGCCGCGGTAGGAGTCGAGCACAACCAAGGCCTCCCTGCAGCGTCCAGTTGATTCACGCAAGGGCTTCAGAAACGGCACCATCACCTGGGTGATCCAGTCCTGCACAAGTGATTCGTCCATCCACCCTTTGTCTTGTGCACGGACCACCACACCTGCCAAAGAATACCGGTACGTCAGGGTCAAATTCGGTTGCGACTGTTGACAGGCTAGAGTAGTGACATCATCCTAAACGTGCTACGCTTACCGGCAGGGATGGGCACCTTCGGTATGGTCTTGCGCTTGAACACCACGTACGGCGGCAGCTTGAGCCCGCTCGCAGTTACTGCCAGCATGACAGTAACACGCCCCTTCTCATAGCCCGCACTCCGTACGTGAACCGTCCGCGCTCCCTTCATTTCGAGCGTGCGCTTCGCCGGCATCTCCAGGAAAAGCGGGGTTTGGTCCGCGTTCAAGATGAGGTCAAGCGGGTAGTCGTGCAGAGAGCGCATCTGGCGCACAAACTCCCAGAAGGACTCCACCTTGGCCTTGCAATCTGCAAGCAAAGCCACGAGACACATTAGCTCAGCACTGAGATGGCAATCAAGGAGCACGACGGCGCAACACTTACCCGCTGCCAACTTCTGTCCCATCTTCGTCTTCACCCGCCTTGCCAGATGCCAGCGCGCGCGGAAACGAGTCGCCCAGCGGAACGATGCGCGCCAGTTGACCCCGGGCATCCGGTGCTTCATGTACTTGGCGCTCCACTTCTGGAGCATGCTGACCGAAACGGCGAGCCCCCTCCCCCTGTGCTTGAGGAACTGGCGGTAGACCGCCCGTTCCATGAAAGGAAACATGGACTTGCGGCCAGCTCCCATGAGGCGACGACGGCAGCTGGAAGAGACCTCCAGCCGCTCCCTCATCTTCTTCCAATCGCGGATCTGGCATGGCTGCACCTTCGCGAGCTTCGCCAGGGCGCGATTCGACAGGTCGGTCTGCGAGTCCTGCATCTTCAACCAGTGGAGCTTCTCCTTCGCGGTGATTCCCTTGCGCTGGCGTTTCGTCATGCGATGGCGAGGGGATGGCGGGTCAGCATCGGCGTTGCGCTTCTGCTGTCCCTGCGGGCGGTTCCGCTCCGGGAACGTGGGGACAACCACTCGAGGAAGGGTAGGGCGAGGACGGTCCAAGCTACTGCTCGGTTCATCCCTGGTAGAAGCACTACCGGGAGCATCCGGCTGAGGAAAGATCGGGCGAGGAGACGTCCGTGCGCGTGCATAAGCGCTAGTCTGATTGGTGGAAACAGGCCGCTGCCGCCTATCTACCGTACTGCTAGAATCTGGAGATGAAGCCATGCTTGGGAACTAAGGCAGGTCGATGTCACTCGCCATGGGAGAAATGACTTTAAAGACGATACCCTCGTGCACAGGAAGGAGACGCTCTCACAGCCTGCCGAGCACTTGTCAAAGACGTGCACTGGAACCGCTTGACGAAGAGAAGAGCAAGCTTGGGTGAGGAAGCTTGGACATGACTACCGTACACGGCAGTCAAGGGGTCACAGGTACAGTGACAACACAGCACCGTGCGCGATTCCGGCCGCGTACTGCATGAACCCAAGCTGCGCGAGGTTGGCACTGATGTCAACCAATCAGGTGGCACAGTGGGCCCACTGGAATTTGCCATGTGGCAGATTCCAGTGGAGGCCGACGTTATCCTCGTAGACGCGGTTTGGCGGCCCTGATTTTAAAAATAATAACAAGGCCAGACCCCTGTTTTTGTTTCCATTCATTTCTGCTTATAAAAAAATGTGCAATATAATAAGACCCGGGTTTTATGTATTTTTTTCCTATGAGGAGACCCCCCCCATTTTTTCTCTGTATTTTTAGCTATACCCTAGGGTGTTATGTCCGGGAGAATACGGTAATAGCGGAAGCGTTTAGTGAAGAATTACTTGAACCACCTTGTACTGGTGTGTGAGAACAAGATAAGTTGATAATAGCAGAGAAGTACAAGGCTTTTATACGATTACAAAGGAATATGGAAAGTTCTATTTTAACTGTTTTTGCTGTTGCGGTTCAATACAGTGCCGACTCGGGTAACTGCTCTGTAACGAGTCAGTTATGTGTCCTTGTTGTCGCACTGTACGTTTCGTCAGGTCAAAGGTCGGAGACCTTTGACCTTCGCACAACCTCCGACGGTTGCCTTGGTTGACTCGAGTGCTTCTTCGCTGTAGTCAGTTCGTTTTGTGTCGAAGCTTCGATACGACAGAATTGTTATAAATCACTTGTTTCCAACACTCCCCTTCGCTTCTGGAGGATCGTTGCTGATGACGTGTCCTTGTCCAGTCAGCAGCATGCAGTACTCGAACTTCTGTTTTCCGAGTTTCTTGGTCAAGTAGTCAGCTGCCATCTCGGATGTGGGACAGTAGGATAGTTCGAGTCTTCCCTTTTCGATCTCGTCTTTCATGAAGAAGTACCGAAGGGCGATGTGCTTCGTTCGATTCGCGAACCCGTTTTTGTTCGCTATGCGAATGGCCGATTGGTTGTCGCAG